ATTATAAGCTGGTATTTTGTCTGGTTTTTATAATATTTACACAGACTAAAATTCTGAAATGTATTTTTTAATCTCAGCTGTATAGAGGAGATTCTGATCACTGCAATTAGTTGCAAATATAGAGCCTACATAAACAATATTACAAATTCACTAGTTAAAGTTATAATTATTCAATTAGCTAAAAGTCTTGAAATGATTGAAATCAAGTCATTATTGACTGACTTCAGGTCAACTTTAGATCATCGTTTGTTGTAACCAATATTTTAACCAGTTGTAACCAGTATTTTCCTTATAAAACATCTAGCTGTTTTACATGATTATTGTATGAAATTAACATTTATTATGAATTATATTATTTATTGTAATAAAAATTAATTCTGACAGATGGAGTTGGACTTGCTGATAATCCAATAGTCTTGTCAGCTGTGAGTCATTGACCTCTTCAGGCACCATCTTAGCTTCTCCAGGATGTCACAGATGTAAAYAATAGGCAGAGCTCACTATGGTGTCATAGGCCTAAAAATCAGAATCAGCTTTGTTGGCCAAGTATGTTGCTCTCTATGGTGCTAATTTATCTGAGATGCATAAATGCCTGATGGTAATCCAATAATGTAAATGCCTCAGTGACTCTAAGAGCCACACCAGCATAACCATCTTCAGGTGGGACACCCAGCTGGACAGATCTTAGAGAAGTTCAATCCATCTCTTGGAAGTAGGACACAGCAGACAGTAAAAACCCAATCCTWTGAAGAAAATACTCAATAACAACAACAAATGTAATGGAGCACAATGTGTACACATGACGCCCCCTTAATATTTCCRTCTGCCCCCTCAAGTATGCATTCCTAGAACCGGCCCTGGAAGGTGTCCTMAAACAGGACGGCCTCATAGACATAGGCGCAGACATAATAATCGTGAMTGCTGCACTGCTAAATGACCTACAGAGAGCTGCAAAACGCATTAACAAAAAGATAAACATCAAATCTTGCTGCATGAMCATGAGAACTTGCTCTCAGTCTGAATCTCCAATACCCTATGTAACGCTAATACAACTACAGATAGGAGAAATGACACTTRAACACCTAGATTATGTGTCAGATGAACACAAACTCTCTCCTCTTCAAGAAGACCTTTATACCTAMCCACTTCCACTGCCAKGGGCAGGCTACCCATTCTGATCTGGGCACAAAGGGACAATTGTTTTCGGGATAAATTTAATTTTACATAAAGCTCAGGACAATAATCTTCCTTAAACTGAATGTAACTCCTCAATTTTGGTTTTCTACAAATGTCCAGTTTCCATTGTTTTTTAAACTTATTAAAATATATATTTTGAAAATAATTTAAATTGCATTGCAGTTTATTTATGTAAATATAGTTTGCATCAGAAGTGACTAACAATGTAGTAACTTCCTTTGCCCAAGGATAATTATTAGAACAGTCCCATAAAAAATCTTTTTGGTCAGCCTGACGTCTAGCAGCCGAGTGAGGCGGTTCAATAAACGAAGCATCTCTACTCTGTTTTACAATGCAGGGCACCCATCCCATATCACCCTCCACTGCTAATTAATTAGCATACTTGTGCACGCCTAAGAAGTATCTGATAGCTCTACTCTGGAGAGCACTGATACATTTATTTTCTTCAAAACCCCACACACCAGCAGCATAAAGCAAAATAGAAGCAACCATGAAATCAAAAAGTTTTATGAAAACAGAAAAACCCATTTCAGATAAGATCTTCATTTTACTCTGTATAGCAACAAAAGCTGTCCCATCTGATTCTGAAAGGTATTTAGTTCCCTCACTAAAACACATAAACTCATTAAAAACAAATCCGAGGTATTTATAAGAACTTGTAAATGCTAAAGATCTCTGTCCATACATAAAATTGTATGAACTTCTCTGTTCAACTTTCCCTCTGAAGTGGATTATCTGAGTTTTATCAATATTAAGAGACAATCTCCATTTTTTGAACCAGCCATTCAAAATATTCATCATTTTTTGTAACTTTACTTCCGTCTCGGCAAACAAAATAATGTCATCAGCATACAACAAAATACTCAAATTTAGATTGCCAATAAAAATACCAAGGTTGGCTTCTTTAATTTCATCTACCAGGTCATTAATATATAAAGAAAATAAAGTAGGAGACAATATATCACCTTGTTTCACCCCAAAAGGAGTGGGGAAAACTCCTCTGATCGTTTACTTGTACACATGCCACAGGGGCTTTATACAGAGATTTAATTGCTTTATAAAATCTACCAGAAATGCCATAAGTTAGTAATTTATACTGTAAAAGATCTTGATTAACCCAGTCAAATGCCTTCTGAAAATCAATAAAACAAGTATGTTTCCCTTCATAAAGTCTGGCCCTTACTATTGATGATAAAACAGAAATATGGTCAATACAAGCCCTACCTTTTCTAAAACCATTTTGCTCATCAGACAGTACATTGTGTAGTTCTATATACTGATTTAATCGGTCATTAAGGATACCTGAATATATTTTATAAACAGTGCTGATCAAACTAATGCCTCTGTGGTTTAATGGCTCTCTGGCATCAACCTTTAAAGATTTTGGTATTGGTTTTATTATTGACTGATACCACTATGATGGAATAATAGAGTTTGAGAAACAGGTCTGAAGGAGACACTGCAAAAATTGAACTAGCAATGGTGCCTTAACATTAAAACAGCATTTTAATAAAAACTAACGGTGACATAGATACTTCATTATGGTATAGTATTTAAATGTATGCCTGAGAAACACATAATGTTGGCCCTTTAAAAGATGCTTTAATTCCTCACATTTTTATGCAATCATTTTGTTCAACCCGCTGAATTAAAGCTGAAAGCCTGAACTTCAACTGCGTCTGAATTGCTTTGTTTAAAATTCATTGTGGT